TTTAGAGTCTTAAAAACTAGTAGCAGAACTTTAAAATCTATTCTGAATGATACAGGTAGCCAGTGCAGTTCTTCCAACACAAGGGTGATATGAGCTCCTTTTTTTGTTGGGATCAGTGCTGCTGAATTTTGTCATAGTTATAGAGGATGTTTTCGTTTTCTCAGGAAGCTCAGTAAAAAGAACATTACAGAACTCTGCTGGTAACAAATGCAGCCTGTCTACAGAATCTTAATCAGAATGAATGGAAATCTTTGGGTGTCGTCAGCATAGCTGTGAAAATTATGTTTCCTAATATCATCACCTAGAGGTAAAAAGACCATAAAACTGAACCTTGTGGGACCCCACAAGAAGTGTTACATTTTTGTGATGAATCGATTCCCATTGAAACCATAAACTGTGGATACATAAAAGTACACTTATTCTCTTTAAAAAATCTCAAATCAGAAATGTTTTGTTATTTAGTGACTTTATATTGAGTAAAGCAACGTTTAATTTTCTGCTCACTACATTGTTTTTTGGGGGGACTGTTTTTGTAGGGGTACATGAATTATTTAAGTTTTGAAGATGTATTTTCTTTAATTTAATAATTGCACAGGGTTTGATGATTTTAATGATGTTATTGGAACGAATTCTCCCTTCATCCCTAGCAGAAGCTTGAGTATTAGGACTGATAGAAATTGAAGAGGCATTGTGTGTATCATAAAAAGCACTTACCTGTCTGCTGTGGATACTTCCCTGCAGTGGAAGGCTGGATGTTCCCAGAAAGCACTCCTTTTCATTTAAATTCTGTCATTTCTAACTTTTTTCCTGTTTTGTTTTTACGTAAAAAATGACAAATTGCAGAAATCTAAAGGGTGTTTCTTTTCTTCATAAAACAGGACTAAATAAACAAAAATCATGCTTTATCAAATTAATGTCATATTAAAATATAATCAGATTCTATTGACGGACACAAATGTTCTGTAAAATCCACGCTTTTCGACTTTTCTCTCCTAGTTTCAATGAGCTACAGGTGAGAAATAATTCATATAGACTTGCACCTAGCTTGTGCTATTGCTGGCAATAACTGTGAATTCTAGGGATTAAACATGGACTTATATTAGCCATCACTATGCTGTTACTAAGTCCAAAATCAGTTCTATGATTCACTTTCTTCCAGTAGGTATAATGTAGGACTTTCACTGAAATCCCAGACCTTTCACTAAATTTAGAAAATAACTGCTACCTCACATCCCTAATGGTGTTTTAGCAATATTTGCTCCACTGGTTACTTCCTCCAGAGCTATTTAATTACCAATGTAGTCAGTGTATAAGAAAGTGTGCAGTGATTAGCATGATACAGGATCTGACACTATCGCTTTCCATTTTTTCCAAATGTGTTAAATTTATTAAATAAACAGTAATTGTACATTAAAATGTGCAGAAGTGTGTTTTCTGTAGAGGATGTCTTTTTTTTCACTTAGGAAATCAAGGAAATGCGTGATTTGTACATCTTCCCCAGGCTTTGGAAGTCTTCATGTAGCTTCCTAGGCTTATTTATTCAGCGCAGACCATTGATTCCTGACCACAGGTCACAGTCGCTTTGTTCTCTAATGACCACAGGTCAGAGGTTTTACCTTCGTCTGGATGCTGAGTGTGTTTTTGTTCTTTAGCTTAAGAAAATGAATATTTTCAGTTAATTAGCCAATTAGAGCCTGTTGGAATTTAATGTGGGACATTAGCCTGGACAGTATGTTCCACTGTGTCTCGCAACCAAAATTAGAAACATTCCACAGAATAACAGTGTAAGAATAGTACTGTTGCACGACTGGCCTCTATGATCAATGCACGAAACATGCTTGGCCTGATTTTTATGACATTAAGATCAAAATGTCATCTCCTCTTTCCACAGTGCAAACCCTGTTTTAAAGTTCAGTTTTGAGTAAGTGCAGCTCCTTGTGTGAGTCATCTGCTCTGACTCTAGATCATTATGACCGAAGCCAAAGGGTTGCTAATTGGTTGTGCTGTGTCACATCAGTGAGGCCAGTGAGCCACTTCAGTTTGTATGTGAAGAAAAGCGGCTCCTTAAAAAATTCTCACCTGGAGTTTGTAATTATGCTTCTCGTTAAATGAAAGGCTGTGTGGCACATGTTGGAGCAGCGCTAGTTTGAGGCCTGTTTCCAAGACAACAGTGCAGGACGTCCATGCATGATGCTAGTGCTCATTGAAGAAGGAGAGAAAAATGTCCATGCTGTTCAAACACAAATATGGTACAATGGTGTTTATTAAAGTTGTTTTTGTGAGTTGCTCCTGGTCTTGTTTGAATGCTGAAAGCACTTTTTTGGGAACTGTTGCATGTATTTGTCACAGGACATGATATTTACAATGATGCAGCTGTGCCTTATTATGCTATTTGCCTGTGATCGCTTCATCAAAATTGTCATTGCAAATGATATGGTAATAGTTTTGGGCAATATAAGTAAAATTTACTGTCACAGTATTCATTTGCTGAGTTTAACATATTGGAAAACAATAAAATATACAATATAAATTGTGCAATATCTTTTGCACAGACCGTACAGTCCCCCCCAAATATATTAAATTTAGCAGATAGACAGTCACTATAAATCTGCAACTATCAAATACTTTCATTTTCAAATACTCTTTTGGATATTATCTTGAATATTTGAATATCCTGTTACAATGAGAACCGACATGTTTCAATTTAATAACATAATGAACAAAAACTGTCAGTCTAATTGTTGGTTTAAATGTATATTTTTTTGCACTATTGCATACAAAGTATTTATTTATTTAACTTTTTAATAAAACATTTTAAATGCTACAAGGAAATAAAGAAAAATCACTGTTAAATAATTATTTCACAGCAAGTTGCATTAAAATGCTGATCCTGCCCAATCTGGCAACCCAGCCAATAAATGCAACTAAGACCCTGCTAGCTAGTTAGCTTGCAGCCTAGAGAAGTAAGAAACCTATCCAGACTCTACCTGGAGTTAAAACAGAACCATGCATACAACAATTTGCAAAGCCTAATCCAAATCAAAATATAGACTTATCAGTGTTGTGTTCGTATCTGGGAATCATCCGAAGACTTTAATCTGTAAGACTGCAGTCATTTTTCCTTCTGGCTGACACACAGAGGTTGAGCTCTTCAGTCTGAGTGCCTTTCCAGTGTTGATAAAATTATATAGTAAGTGGTTACATTTCTTACATTTTTTAAATTTTCCTATGTTGTTTTAATTATTTATTTTATTTTATTGCATCTTTTAAAGTATTTCTGCTGAACTATTGCTATTGAATTAACACAGCCAGGACTCAGCCTCCTAATTAAAGAATCATTTATTGATTAGTCTTGGCTGCTGGACCCATTAATGGGGCCAGCACTGCCAATTCCTTCTTCTTTCATATTAGTCTGTAGAAGTGCTGCTATCTCTTCTGTGTCTTATCCATATTCATTTCACACTGATTTCTCACTTTTTCTGTAACTTTTCCAGCAGTGCTCAGGCCGGCCTCTCAACAGCAGATGTTCTCAGCACTTTTTAGGGCGCCGCCTTAATTTTGTTCATAAGGCAGTCATAAGGCTAGACTGCGTCTATGTAAACAGTTTATTTTTTAATCCTTAACTTTGTATAATTCGTTATCAGTATGTCTGGCTGGTGTGGTTTATTTATAACAACACTAATCTCTTTCTAGCTGCTGTGGCGCCCATTATATGTAGAATAAGTTGGGGTGTGATATACCTTGAGGCATTGCTATAAACGATTCTAATCAATTATAATAATATTCAGTAAAGTATACATCTCATTATTTGGCTAAAATTAAATTTTCGAGCAATTTTCAAACAAATATCCTAAGGGGAAACAACTTTATGTATTGTACTGTGTTAATAGTTTCTGAAAACACGTTTGTGTATTAAAGTGTTAGAAAACATGCAAAACTTCAGTTTGAAAAGATGCGTTAGCTAACTTTCATTTTCATGTCTCAGAGGAGGCATCATTTCATGGGGGAGACATAGCTTGTGAGTGGGATTTGGCAATGACTCAACTAGGGGGAAACGAAAATGGGGTGCCAAAAAGATTATAATATTTAAAAAAAAAAAAAAAATTATCCATAATATTATAAGTTAGTAACAAAATGATCAAAAGTGGTCCCAGAAAATTAAATTAAACAATGATGAAATTTGAGATTTCATGATTAATTGAATAATTTGCTTCTAAATCTTTATTTGAATTGTCATGAGGTCAGTGAGACCCTAACAATCAGCATATTGCTACTGCTGGGACAAAAATTGTGTATATATATTTTTTTACATAATCGAAATCAGCAGCTGCCCTTTACATTGTGTAAAGACATCTTTTAACATTTATTTCTGTTTTGAGTTAAGAATGTTTTTCCTTTGTCCTGAGAAGTTACCATGTTGGAGGTACAATGTTTTGTTCTAGCAGTAACAATATTGCTTATTAAGCCTTGGCAGTATTTATCTAGTAATGCACAGGTGTCTCCTTGTTACTGCAGGAGTTATGAACTCAAGAGTGCAGAGTGCATGAGTAAGCAGTAGCAGCACTTCAGTATGTACACCAGGACTGCACAATAGATTCTTCTTTATTTTTTTTTATTTATTTTTTTTTATTTATCCTCTGCAGCATGATACTGCAAAACAATGTGAAGTATATGCAAATCAGTGCTGTAACAAATCACAGACATTTCTGTTGTCACTTCTTATGAATCACAGTCATTTATGCAGCCTGACAAATGTTTTCCTAAAATCATGCATGCCTGTCTCTTTAATCATACTGGAGACAAATAAGAGCTGTTCAGCAATGTGTTTTGTCATATCGCAATCACAGTATGTTGCTGTATAATCACAGCTTGCTGTTTTTGTCCTGATCACGCAGTCTTGTTGCTTCCCCAGCCAGTCCATATGAAAGCCCAGAGCATGCAGCTGTCACTCACTCTTCTATTACACTGACCTGACTTTTGGCCTCTTCTCTGCTTCACAGTGGCCTTGCAGCTGCCTGAGGGGCTGCAGATGTTTGCCTGTGTGATCGCTGACATCATAGAGAAGTAAGTACACTCTCACTCTCAGACTCATGCACACCTAGAGTGCTAGAAGCAGTGCAAAATGTGCCTTGATGCTGCTGTGATGTGCACTTGTAATGCATCTGAAGTGAACATTTGGTTTACTGCAGTTGTAGATAATCATGCAAACTGTGCAGTGACATCGTGAAGCCATCATCAAGACTGAGACAATAAAGAACATAAAGGAAATGAAGCAGCTTCTTTAGCTCAAACCTAGAAGATTCCTTGGCTTGATTAATATAAAGATGATTTACCCAATTCATTTGTTCGTTGGCCTACAGTCGTATTTTCATTTCTTAAACATGTAAATCTGCACTGAACATCTTGTAAAGCCAGTTTAATTTCAATTTCAGAGGTACTTCTTTGTGTTCTTCAGACTTTTCTGCTGCGGAGCTTTTTTTGTCTGTTAGCACAAGAGTTACGGACACCACCTGGTAACATGAGCAGAAGGTTTGACAAATATAGCAGCAGTAACTAATGAAGATGTGAGTTATCTGAATTTTGCAAACATCAGTTCTACTCTGACTCAAAGATTTGAAACCATAACACATAACAAGTCAGTACCAGACTCATTAGGCAAGCGACTTAAGGTAGTTTTATTCTTTTGGTAAATGTTCTTTCAGCATTTTTTTGAGGCAGTTGTATCCATCTAACTGCTATGACTCCTACCATTCACTCTTAAAAATAAACCATCACAAGGGCTACATTCACACTGCAGGTAAAACTGGCCCAAATCCCAGAGGTTCCAGTTTCAGCTCGCTGTAAAAGGGCACGGTCACTTCTTTGTGTCTTGTCCTCGGATTCTTTAAACTTTGCTTTCAGACTTTTAGCCGTTGTTTGACACAGCTGCCTTGTTCTCCCACGTCTGCGTTCGGCCATTTCTTTCGAAATCTCTTTGAACACGTAGGGGTTTGGATAAGTGTCTTCTAATTTTATTTGTACAGAAACATCAGCCTAAATGTTTATGTGGCCACAGCAGCACGAAATTATGACGAATGTCAAGTTGGATTGATGTAAAAGTTGCACAAATTCCGATCTGGCTGTTTAGACTGAGTTGTATTGCCTCATATACGAATATGTATCGGATTTCAATACCACGTATGAAAGCATCTCAAATCGGAATTGAAAATGTCAGATTCAGTGTGTTTTTTGCTGTTCACACTGCCACACAGACAACACATCTGTGTCACATATGAAGAAAAACATCGGATTTGGGCCACTTTCACCTGCTGTGTGAACATAGCCACAGTGTTCTTTGAGCGATGCAGTAGAACCACTTTTGGTTCCCTACACAAAATATTAAATATTAAAAAGAGATTTCTGAGTGTGAAGAATCTGTTTAACGGTTTAAAGAACATTCACAGAAAACAAAGGTTCTACACCAATGTATAGGTTCTTCCTAGAACCTTTGCATTATGTGGATGTGGGTTTAAACCTTTAAAAGATTCTTTACACTCAATTTACAAAAATGGTTTTCATTTACAAAATTGAAAGGTTATTTAAGGAACAAAAAGCGGTTCTTCTGTGCACCAACAACCTTTTCTGGCACCTTTATTTTTAGGAGTGTTGATGTAAGAGGCAGTAAAAATTTTCTGCAAAGCCTCAGTAAATCCAATATCTCTGCCATTTTTTTTCTATTTTCTTTGTCTTCCTTTGACGGGTTTTGTGGTTTTCCATGTAGATGCCCCATAAACTCCAGGTTTATGCTCGTACCTTAGAACCATACTTGCTTTTTCAGGTAAAATGCATCCTGTTTACACCTGACACCTGGCGCAAAATACTTAGTACACCTCTCTCTCCTGTATCTCTCGTATCCCTCTGGGGTGGCTTGTGGCATGACATGAGGCATTGCAGACTGGACATGGACAGTGGTGTGTATCCTGTGCAGCTGTAGTGTTATGCACTGTGAGAGGAGGTCATTAAATGTGTGAGCGTTATCATAATTCCCTGCTGCAACTCGTATCTGGGGCTCAGCAGAAAATTACACACGATTGCCAGCACCAGGCTGCTATCACCACCTCACTTGTTAACTGAGGGACGAGGGCAAAACCATTATTCTTCTTAATTACATCTTGTTACAGCCAGCGTTGAACGTATTGCATGCAAACACTGTCACACTTGCGCTCTTGCACACAAGCACATGTCCACACACACCCAAACAGTAAAGTCTGGCGCACAGCTATAGTGTCTGTCTCTACAGCGATATTAAAGTGTACAGAAGCCTGAGCTAGGACTGCTCTTTAATAATAAACGAATTTGCCTCTAATTTAAACAGAGATGTTTACATGTGCAGTGTGTTTTCAGTGTATACCGTGTTCCCTAGCAGTGCTTGCGTGTGTCTGTGTGCACAGGGTTGAAGGGCCAGCGTTGCCCCTTCTTTTTCATTCACGCTTTCTTCCATTCCTCTCTCCCGGGTTATACAGTCCCTCATTCCTTAAAGGCTATCCTCTCAATGCTCAGCATAAGCAGATTCCTCTCTGCACGTCTGCTCAATGCTAATTAGACAGCGGTCCTGTTACAGAGAGGTGTGTGTGGATAGGAGAAGTGGCATGACTGCGTGTCGCTGCTGGCCCTGCTTTGCCCCAGGCCTGCTCTCAAATGCAGGCAAATCATCTGCATTATGAAAGCGTTATGGTGCCAAAATGGCATATTAAGTTATCAAATGTCTCAGCCAGTTAGGCTCTTTAGCAGGACTGTCCCTGACTAAGGAATTTCTTAGTCAGTCAGATGGGCCTGATTTACGACTAAAAGTCCACCTTCAAGGCGCACCAGCAAGTAAGGTGAAAAATATTAAATGTCAGCACTGGCCCATAATTCACAATTCTGTGCATCCCGTCACTGACCACTCACCAAGGAATTAGGAATTGTGGGCCAATACTAAATTTAGCTGTAAAGAAATTGTAAATGGCCATAAAAATTCATGTTCACTGCATCCCTAATAGTAGGCTATAGTGTATCTGGTGGTTGATCAAAGGGAGATCAGCATGGACATCTACAGTTTAGCATGACAACACCTCACTCACTTGTTTATGCCTTGTGTGGTGTTCGGGTCTGTAGGACCCATTTTCAATGTTTACTAAAAGAAAAATTGTAGTTTATTATATTCAGAGTTATTCTGCGGTCAGTAATACAGACTTTACATTCTGCCCTTTTGAAATCATTATAAATTTAGTAGTGGACCTGCCTCTGTCTTGTGCTTCTTCCCCTCGTTCTCTCTCCTCTGTAGCCTCAATAGAAAGTTACTGGCTGGTGTCAGAGGCTTGGTATCTCATTACCGATTGTCGGTCTTCATGGACTTTACACCTTACCTGCAGATGAGTGTGCAGTCGATTCTGATTCACACCTTTAGGCCTGGGTTGGATTCATCTCTCATACTCCTCCCCTCCCTTCATTCCTCCCCACGGCTTCTCGCTCCATCTCTTCGTTAATGCCACACCTCCCTCATTTTCTTAAATCTTTCCATCTCTTGCGACACGGTCATCTCCGGCTCGCACTCTCGATCTCGTCTGAGGCCATTTGTGTGCAGGAGCGTGTGTCTGGGATGACGTGGGTACTGATGGGCCCTCTCTCTCTCTTATCAGGCCAAAGTAGCGCTATCTGCCTCTCTCACATCTGACTCTGAAGGCACAGCGTGTCCACACTCCATCCCTACCTAACCCACTCCACTCCAAAGCTAATGAGAGCAATTACTGTCTGCTAATTACTTTCCTAAAACTCTTTTCCCCTCCTGACACCTACACAGCTCTCTATCTCTCCTCCTGCAGGACTTCCTACTTTCCCTCTCATCTCCACTTCTTCATTTCACTTCATTTCTCTGCCACAGCAAAAACCCTCAGTTTTGAATTAACACCTACACTGTTGAGTCCAGCTGGCCACAAATGAACATTGAGTTCAATCAACGCTTGGTATTTTTTGTTAGAGACACTTTGAAGGTCTTGAAGGGCTTGAATGATCTACTTCTGATGGCCTTCAGGCCTTCAAACATTATGCTCTTTTTAGAGCAGAATATCAGCTCTGAGTAAATGCTGGATTGTTTTGCTGGTGAAGAATGACTAAGCAGGCTAGAGCTGATTGAGAATGATTTGTTGTTTTTCTAATTGCTCATTGTGATACTACAGTTACAAATGAGTTCATTCTATGCCATATGCTTTCATAAATATGATCCACCCAGTTGGGTTATTCTCACAAACATGACAAATACTGGGACTAAATGACTAAAACTCAATGGTTTCTTTTCTTGCGTATACAAACAGTGATGCCTGGTGGAAAAAAATAAACCTGAATGATTTTAAATTGATTTTTAGTAACATTTCCTAGTTTAAGTGAACAATTTTTCATTGCTGCAACACAGTAGGGCTAAATCTGAGATGAATCTGTCTTATTTTGTGTGTTTTTTTTTGTTTGTTTGTTTGTTTTTTTTCTCCCCTGCAATGTTTCATAATTTGTGTACTTGTCAGACTAAGTGTCAGTTGAAGCAAAGTTTTTAAAAACATTTATGTCACATAACATTTTCGTTCACATTCTTACAGTTTACAAGGAAAACGTTCAAATGAAGAGATTCGACAGTTAAAAGTAATAAAAACGCACATGGGCACATTGTGGTAGTGAGAATTATTAAAAAAATGCCAGAAAGCTTCAAAATAGAAAAATGCACTTTACAAACTATTTGCTGTACCATACAGAGCTCCAATTGATCTACTAAATTATATGAATATTTTATGTGATACGTTTATTTCATTCGAGACTTATCCAGGGCAGCTTAATCATGTTAAGAGGCAGCTGAATGTAGCGAAAGGAATTTTGCCCAATGACTGTTATTGACACAGCATTGTGTGCTTACTTGGGTGAAGAATCAAACCCGGACTGAAGTGGTGTTCCCCACTGCGCTATACCAACACCATTACCACAAATTCTTCACCCTCTGGAAAACTAGTTCCATCTCAGAACAAATGCTGCAAGGCTCCTGATGAGTACCAAGAAAAGAG